TATTTAGGACCTCTTATTTCAATTCGCCTTCTTTCATTTCATTTTCATGGACCAACAAGAAACCCCCCCAAAATAAAATCCTGGTTACGGCCCTGCATTTTAGAATACAAAATATAGAATTCGCCGCTACAGTGAATTTTTTAGATTATTTAGACTTTGAATTTAGATTTTTGAAAATTTAGAGAAGAAATAGAAATCAAAAATTTTCTAAACAAAGTGGCCTATGACTTTGAAATTAAGTTGACAATGTAGAGACAAAAGATGTGAAAACTGACAAGTCTCACATCTTCTGTCTCTAGATTTTTTCGTGTTGCCAACTTAATTTCAAAGTCATAGGCGACTTTGATCAGAATATGGCAAAAAAATGGATAAATGGTTATTTGGCTACTAATAAAAATGTCGCAATAATCACTGAGAGGGAAAATACCCGTTAGAGTACATATTTGTGTAGAAACAACAATGATTTACCGAATTAACCAAACGGATGTTTAAACAACCGTTTGAAAATCCTATGATTGTGATGGAAGCGGAGTGTTTGATGAAGATTGTCTGCTAGTGTTAGACAGTAAGTTTGGGTGAGTCAAGTCACGTAGCGAAACGGATTTGCAGTCGAACGCCCCATTTTCGTAATTCCTGCGATAACATCCTTCTTTGACGAATGTCGCAAATCGCAAGTGAAAATCCACTTCTGAGTCGTGCAGATGTGAATCAGGTTTATTTCTTCTCGACTAGACTCGAACAGACGCCACGCTTAGTGACTCCATGGGATTTATTTACTCCAACCGCAAAAAAGAACTCCGGTTCATACGCGACTAGCGTAAACAGAAAATCGTAGAAAAAAAACGCGCAACTGGTTCATATCACTCGTAATTTTCATAATGTGACGTAACATTTAATTAATAAACAATCACTGATTTATTTCAGGTGAACGGACGTGTAGTCCAAAAGGCAAAAAGCTGCTGCGATTGCAATTGCTTGACCTAGTTCCGGTTTTATTTTTTGTTAACTATTGTGAAACTCTTTCATTCATTATTTTGTTTAGGGATTTATTTTTAGTTTTTGCTGAGATGAGGTATTGGCGAAGATGAGGAATTCCTCAAGTTCCGGCCTCAGCAGTGGCCACTCCTTCCTGCGGGAGCGCCGACCTGGAAGTCGGACGCTTCTGCTCAATGACTCACTCTTGCATGAAATTTTCAGTCTCTTGAAATTCTTCGCATCTCGAGGGCACCACCCCCAACACGCTTTTACATAATTCTCAATTCTTCTTCACGAAGATTTTAAATTCACTTTTTCAGTCTCTTTCTCAAGTTGCCTTTCACATTCATGATAGTTATTTCTCATTACAATGTTCATGAAATTAGAGACGGGTGAGTGATGATTATAAAAAATTGTTTTAAAACTAATAGAACGAATTTTTCACTGGGTGTTTTTTGAAGATTCCGATTTTGAAAATGGAAAAATTCTTTAAAAAATATGTATTAATCTACAAAAAGTTTTAGTCAGAAAAAAATTATAATACGTATAAAAAGTAAGTAATCATTAAAAGCTCTTGAATTTTAAGTTTACCTGTATAAAATTAATCTATAAAAATTTCATTATTTTTAAAATTGAAATTAAAAAAAAGTGATCTGGCGATTCACTACTTTTTTTTTTTCATTTGTCTTCTAAAATTAACTAAAAAGGTTTTCAATAATTCAGTGTTGTCAATTATTATTAAAGTAAGCAATTATTATTAAGCAGTGAACAAGATCAACACGCGTTTTTTTTAGTATTTTTTCAAAATAATTGCGTTTGCGGCTGAAAAATGTACTAAAACGCTCAAAAATGCAAATTTTGACTTTATTGAGTGGTTTTTAGGATTATTATTGACGTAATTTTGCAAAATTATTACCGAAAAACGTTCAAAAAACTCTAATACATTGTAATTTTCAACCTAATTAAAATTAATCGCGTTTCTATATGAAGAACGTACTAAAATTCTGCAAAAGGGCAAAAATAATGTAGTTTTTGAATTAATTGTATTTCAGGCTGAAAAACGAGCTAAAACGCACGTGAAATGAATTTTGCGACCTACCTAATTAGGGGGCTTTTGGAAGTTTTACAAGACAAAATTGAGTTTCAGGCTGAAAAATGTGCTGAAACACAAGAAAAATGCTTATTTTTGATGTCTTTTTGCAAAATAACTTCGTTTCTGGTTTAAAAACGTTCAAAAACCGTTTGGGTGTTTTTTCTGGCTTACTTTTGAAGTAATTTTACAAAATAATTACAATGCAGGCTGAAAAGCGTTCTGAAACGTATAAAAAATACAACAAATAATGTACTTTTTGACCTAATTGGTTTGTTTTCGGGCTTATTTTTGACACATTTTCGCAAAAAAGTTGTAGTTACACCTGAAAAACGAGCAAAAATGCTCAAAAAGCGCAAAATAATGTAATTTTTAATCTAATTAAAATTAATTGAGTTTCTGTGTGAAAAAATGCTAAAATTCTCCAAAAGGGAAAAAATAATAAAATTTTCGAAATATTGGGTGTTTTTTTTTTGGATTATTTTTGAAGTAATTTTACAAAATAATCGCATTTCATGCTGAAAAACGTACTGAAACGCACGAAAAATGTACAAATAATGTATTTTTCGACCTAATTGGGCGGTTTCGGGAATTATTTTTTTATGTAATTTAGTAAATTATTAAAAATTATCTATAGGTAAACATTTGCTCTTACAATGTAAATATTTTTCTGTTTGAATTATCATTAAAATATTTAATCGTATTGGGATCCTTCGATAATCAGATATTTACTTATTAATATTATAAATCACTTGAGGAAGACGAACAAAAAAATATCTTCCTAGTGTTTTTTTTTCCAGATTGGAGTTTTTAAAAGTATTAAAATTAGCAAGAATATTCTGTTTTCGCATATTTTTATGTTAGTATTAAACCCACAAGTGATTTTAATATCGAAAACACTAAAATTAAAGTTTTTTGTGCTTATTTAAAAAGTGGAAAAACCCTAATCATTATCATGTCCGAAAAAACAAATTTTATTGTGTCCATTTTATTAGTCTCGTTGACGTTCTGAAACGTATAAAAAATACAACAAATAATGTACTTTTTGACCTAATTGGTTTGTTTTCGGGCTTATTTTTGACACAATTTCGCAAAAAAGTTGTAGTTACACCTGAAAAACGAGCAAAAATGTAATTTTTAATCTAATTAAAATTAATTGAGTTTCTGTGTGAAAAAATGTTAAAATTCTTCAAAAGGGCAAAAATAATAAAATTCTTAACTATTGGGTGTTTTTATAAATAATTACATTTCATGCCGAAAAACGTACTGAAACGCACGAAAAATATAAAAACAATGTATTTTTCGATCTAATTAACAATAAAATTTCGGGGATTATTTTTTTATGTAATTTCGTAAATTATTAAATTATCTATATAAATATTTGCTCTTTCAATGTAAATATTTTCTGTTTGATTTGTCATTAAAATATTTAATCGTATTGCGATTCTTCGATAATCATAGATATTTACCTATTAATAAATCACTTGAGGAAGACGAACAAAAAAATGGAAAAAAATATCTACCTAATGTTTTTTCCAGATTGGAGTTTTAAATATTGTAAAATATTAAAATTAGCAAGAATATTCTGTTTTGGCCTATTTTTATGTTAGCATTAAACCCACAAGTGATTTTAGTATCGAAAACACTAAAATTAAAGTTTTTTGTGCTTATTTAAAAAGTGGAAAAACCCTAATCATTATCATGTCCGAAAAATCAAATTTTATTGTGCCCATTTTATTAGTCTTGTTGACAACCAAAATTTATTGTTTCCTAATCAGACAGTGTTGGTGAAGAATAAAAAAATCTGAAAATCAAAGCTCACTTCATGCGCTTGCGCAGTGAGAGGCAAACACTTTTACACTCAAACAGTTTTACCACAATTAAGGGGAAAAACAAAACCATAGATATTTGATGTGCAATGAGCTAAAATTGTTTCAGTGAATGTTACCAACCATGAAACAGAAATCCCAGCCTGCTACAAATTAATCACACGACACAATAATTCAATCACTGGGACACAAAACACACAAACGCCTATATTTTACAGTGAATGTAATTAAGTTACATGTAGAAATGTGGCGAATCGATAGAAAGAAAACTTTACATAAATGGCGTCCAAATAGCCGAGTTGTAGAAACGGAAAATTTTAATTACATCCGTTTCATATACGGAAAGAAGTAATACATTTACTTATACGGAACTGTAAAAAAACAGAAAAAATCACCGGTTTTTTCAATTAATTTAATTAAAGGATGTCACGTTGTTGGATTTTAAGCTCTCCAAGCCTCAAAAATGTGTGATTTTTGCAACCTCTCAACTTATTCCCATCGGATTTGAATAAATTCCTTCGGTGGAAAAAGGCCAATGACTGGATGCCCCACGTGCGATTTGTATTTCAAAGAAGATTGCCGCACACACATTGCATAATTATTGTTGTAATGATGATAACGACAACAACGACTTGCTTGTCGCAGCAAAGTTCCATAATCTTTCGAAAGTGCATCTTTTACAAATGTTAATTCGTAAACCAGACATTTGTTTATTAATTAACGCAATGGCGAAACTGTTTGTTTTAAAATTAATACTGTGTGGCATTTGAATTAAGGCTAATTGGAGCAGTTTCAAATTTTTGCCAGTTTCTCATATTTTCAAAAACACAGTATAAATGCAGCATTCTTTGTGGGATTTCCACCGGTCGTAACACTTTAATAACAGGGTGAAAGTTTCCGTTAAAGTTGAAAAAAAATTGCCCCGGGTGAGGATCGAACTCACGACCTTAAGATTATGAGACTTACGCGCTGCCTACTGCGCTACCGAGGCAGTTACTATACATACTTTATGTTCCCGTGATAAACATAAATTACACTTTTTGAAACTAAACGGGTTAATTTCATTGTAATAAATATGGTAGAAATTAACATTAAATTTCTCTTACCTTGAGTTTCAAATCGGGATTCTTTTGTTTGCGCTTGTGTCTTTCGGGGACAATTTTTCCGTCCATTGTTTTATTTATGGTAATGGTTTGGGTAGCAGACGTGCACTGTTAGGTGTGTTATTATGTAATTGGCTTAATTAGTTTTTTCTCCACACCAAAACTTATAAATAACCCAAGTAGAAAAGGAAAATCCAAGCAAGGCCAAGAAAAATAATGTTAGAGAGCTTTGGAGGAAGTTTTAATAGGAATAATGAGACGAGTGTGTTAGATTTTTTTATTATCGTATATTATTCTTTAGTTATGGATTTTGATGGTGCTTTTGGGTCATTTTGTTTACAATTTTAGCAGCGAGGTGCACACGTTCTCAATAACACGAAACTGTAAGTCCCGAAGTGATGCGACATCTGGTGGTGCCGTACAAGAACGACTTAAAAATACTTTCACATGGAGTAAATCCGTAAAATAGCATTATTTTCGCCAATAAAACGATAAAACGAAAATAAAAAGCTTTGAAGATTTTGCCAAGATTAACTCATTTTTTTATTCTGGGTGGTAGCTTTCTCAATCAGCGCGCTTGGGGCCTCCAAGCCGGAACTTTGAAAATTTATTATTCAGAGAAGTTAGTCATTTACGATAAACTACCTTTGCTTTCCACATTTATGTCACACTTGCTTATAAACAGTTAAATTTATTTCTTAGTCCCATGTTCTGATGCAACCTGATGGTATTTTATTATTAAGAGCACACAATTGGGCATTTATTTCTGGAAAAAATTAACCGTTGGGCATCACTAGAAATAATGTGAAATATGCAAATATGCAAAAATACATCAAATATAGGACATTTTGATTATCTGTAAATAAACACTTGTATTTTAAAATAAATGAAATTAAAAGTGCCAATGATTGTGACCAAAAAAATCTGTTGGCAACACTGAATTATTGATGATCCTTCTAGTCTGTTTCAGGTGAAGGCTATGCCAGCGGTTGCCCTTCAAAAACGAATGACAATTGACTATAAAATTGTGACATTTGAATTTGGTAGTCAATGTTGCCAAATTAAGATTTTAAATTAATAAATTTAAATTGGCAACAACCAACGTGCCAACAAAAATCACAGTCATTGATAGTCACTGGGTATTTTGCATCTTTTACTTTTATGCTTTTTATTCTCACCTGAGGATGACCAGTTTGTGGTTGAAACGAGTTGTATTTTAAATCAATGTTTGGTGTGTCGGATTAAATTGTGTATGTGTTCATTATTCGAATAATAATAATAAGCAATAAGCATATATCAAAATAATTGGGGATTTTTTTAAGATTGATTGAAATCTATTTTATAATAGATAGCAGATACTAACTTCTTGCACACTAAAGACCACTTCCCACTAAGTAAATTTACTTTTTATAAAGTTAAAATTTATTTGTTTTTACATATGTAAGTTGTTTATCTTCAATTGTTATTAAATTTGTATTCTTTAGAATGTTTTAGAATCTGTTTTGTCACTGATGTGGATCACCTTCTGGTACATTTTCGATTTCTGGAGTTTTATGTTTTTTTTTTATTAATAATAAATAAACTTAGTTATTTCAAATTTAAAGAGACATATTTTTAAAATTCATTAAATTAGTTGTTTTTTTATCTATATCCACATGAAAATTTGCAATAAGATGCTTCAGCTTCGTTAAATTTTAAACGTTTAGCAAACTTTCATTAAAAAATTTAACGGTGGTCTTTTTACGACTTCTGCTTTCACATTTTTATTTTATCAAAAACTGGAACCGACAACTCCTTATACTAAAATATAAAATTATTATAAGAATTAACTTAGTGGTACCAGAGTTAAGGATGGTTGACATTTTCCATGTTAAAAATCAGACTTTACCCATTTTTTTTAATTCCAGTCAATATTTTGAAATTTGAAGAAAAAAAATCCAACTCATAGTTATTTAAAAAAAAACTTGTTGGTTTACACCAACAATAGTTAAATTTAATCTCGGATTAAGAACAATTGTAACTACGATAATAACAATGGTTACTATGGATTTAATTCGAGATTAAATTTAACCCCACCCTTATACTGTTAATTGACTGAGTGGCTATCAAAAACCTTCTGAATTTCTGATTAGAACTCTTCCAAGTAACCTATTTTTTAAATGTAATATTTTTAGTAGAAATATTTAGAAAACTTTTTTTTAATCTACTTATACAACGTAGTCCAATTGGACTTAAAGCACAATTACGAGAATGTATTTTTTTAAAAGTATTTTTTTGAAACTATTTGTAACGGCCCAGAGCCGCGAGTTAAGAATAGTTATTTAGATTACAAGAGAGAAAAGGGTATTTTTTCCACACAGGTGGAAGTTACTGTAAAAGCCTTGTCGAGACATTTTTCTCTAGTTTTCCCAGCAAGAAAAACTTCAAAACTAACAATTTCTCTTGACACCTCAATTTCACCATCAAATTTAACAGCAGGTTTTTCTGTTTCTAAGGAGGAGGTACCTGAGCGGTTGCACATATTTTTATAGTAATTTTGACAAATGAGGGAGGAAAATTTTTACCTCCCAAGAAGGTTTTTGGCAATATTTTATGCAATACTTTTGCCATCACCGGCTGTATAATGTTTGTAATACTTGTTTTGAAATATGTATACTATTTTTACACTGTTTTATAAAATAAATATGCAACCAACTTTTCAGCAGTATTGTGGCACGCGTTTGTTTTTGCCTTCTAATTGAATTAATTTACTATAAATAAATAAACAACATAAAAATAAATTTAAAATTACCTGTTTATTCTCACATTTGCGCGCATTATCAGTTCATTAATGATAATTACGAATAACATAAATTTCAATTGCGACTATTTCTCCTATTTGTATGTTGTATCTATATCCAACATCCATCTAAGAATTGAAAATTTTTAATTGTATACATATTTGGCTTTTATTTTTATGAAAATTCGGTTGAAACTTAAATTTGACTGGCCATTGGAGCGACTAATCAATCATTTTTTAATTAAAATACAACTTTGTCTTCCAGAAAAAAATGAAAATGTGTCACTTTTAAATAAATATGTAGGCATCTATAAACAAACCAACTACATGCCAATAGTTTTTAGTTACATTATGCATGTTTATTTTGTTGGGTTTTAAAAGTTAATGTTTTGCTTAAATTTGTTTACATTGGCTTCGCCCATTCGAATTAAACAAAAAAAAGATGATTTCAAGTATTGGCAAAGTTGTGCCAAAATCAGGCAGTGTGTTAAAAAAGTATGTCAATAACTAGTTAAATATCTTTAAAAAAACAGCATCACTAAGAAGTAAGGAATGTTGTTTATCGAACAATCGATTGTTTCAATTTTTTGTCTTCAAAATTATTTCGAATGATGACCGCATCAAAATCCGTCTTGTAGTAACTGATTCATTGTGATTTATTACCACATACGGAAAAAACGTTCAATTCATGACCAGTGACCCTATTAATTTTGCCGAATTTTAATGAGACAAGTCACGGTAGATTTGTCTCTATGAACTCCTTCCTACACAAAGATTAGAAGAAATAGTAATCGTAGCTTGTGAAACGAAAACGTGCAAAATATTTAAACAATTAATAATGGCTTTTCCAAGGTGGGAGATAAACAAAAATGGATTTGTAGTCTGGCCATTATTGACAATTTTATGACCATTTATACCACTCAAGTGGCGCTTAATTTCTAATCCAAAAATAGATTTTTATGAGACACGTATTTTTACTACCCAGCTGTTTAATTTAAACTATATCTTGACCCACAACAAAATTTTGGAGCCATGTCAAGTAACGTAACAAGCAGACGAAGACGATTTTGTAATTGCAGAAGGTGCAGTTTTGTAATTCTTATATAAAAGCACCGATTTTGAAACTGATGATATCGAGGCTGTCAAAAATGACCATGAACGCGATTGCAGTGAAGGGAATAAGTAAAAATAAATTGTAATCGCCTCACACTTGAACAGCCATATTTTAATCGAATTAATTAAATTATTTTTACATTTCGAAAACGAAAAAACTCGCTTCAATTCTTTGTTTCTCAATGAACAACGGTAAATAATCGCGTGCGTCTAATGCATGATACATCACCCAAAATAACTAGAAAACGTACGTTTGTGATAAAGCTTTATGTAATAAGTGTGCCTAACACTGTTTTCATTAAATATCAATTGTGTGTGACTTGTGGTGAGAAATTTCGTGAGATTGCTCCTCCACTTACCAAAGTTTTAGCTTTTTTGTATTTTGGAGTGAAACATTGTTGTACATTTCCCATCATCTGGCGAATGCATCACAAACAACACACAAATTTTATTCAAAATCGACAAGAATCTGCATTTTCGAACGTTCGAATTGTTAAGAAGCGCGCGCCTGTTTATTTTTTACAGAGCTGATGAGATTAACATACGCGGGGCCCATGCGCGCCTCTTATTTTAATCAAATACAACCGGTTCGAGGTGCTAGATTGTGTTTTTCACCAACTAGCGTGGCATTTTTTAGCCTAGAAGAAAATAAATCTTTTATTAATTTTTTTTTGGTCTCAACAACTTACTCTAATTGAAATTCATTAATTCTGAACTCGGTTATCTATTCGGCATACCAGGGCCGTAACCAGGATTTTATTTCGGGGGGGTTTCTTGTTGGTCCATGAAAATGAAATGAAAGAAGGCGGATTAAAAATCAAAAATCTCTAAGTACACGTTTTTATTTTAAATTAAAGTAAGAGATCCTAATTAAACATAAAAAAATACAAACAAACTCAACTCACAAAAGTAACAAAAAATAAAATAAATTTTTAATACTTTTTATTGTTACAAATTTAAACAGGAGATAGAATATTCTTTTTTAAAACAAAAGTTTTCTATGAACATATATCGAAAAATGCTACGCAAGGAGTGCGTCTTTTAATAGGTTTTTATTTCAATATTTCCGAAATCATTTTAGAAAAAAAAATTCAAAATTTGGTACAGATGACTTTTATACACCTAAACAAGTACAAAAATAAAATGTTGAAATTTTTAATTAGAGGCTTCCTAAACTAGATGGGATTAGGGTAAAAATTTATTCTAACTATTTTGCCTGTGGTTTCTTGCCATTTTCAGCAACAAAATTTCATAGTTTTTCATAAAAAAAGTCTTTTGTGTTTTCCGATACAATTTACGGATTTTTAGTAAAAATCGGTTTAAAAATGTATGCTACAGACCATAAACAGCATAAAAATTAAAAATTAAATTTGTTTTACCGTTTAGGAAACCTCTGATTAAAAAATTTGTTATTTGACATTTGTTTAGGTGTACATATAAAGGTACCAAATTTTGTAATTTTATCTATTGTGAAATATTAGGAAAAACCCTTTAAAAAACGTACCTTTTTTAGGGAGTGTAGCTCCCTTTCATAGCATTTTTCGAAACACTTTTGTCTTAAAATTAAATATTCTATCAAGTATTTAAATTTGTACCTAACAATAAAAATGAAACACTGTATAATTAACACATGAAAATTCATTCACTAAAATAAAAAAAAAACTAAATTTTAAACACTTATAACACTATACAGGATGTTCCAAAAGTCTACAAACGATGTTGAAACTATCAATTTTTTTGGCAAATAAATTTATAGGTGAGCAATGGCTATAAAAATGCTATTCAAAAAAAAATTGAATATTAATTATTTGTTTATACTTACGACATAAACATAGTAACTTTTTTTTAATGGACGACAATTTTTTAGACAACGAGTTTGTTACATGAATTGTTGCTGTGCAAATTTTTTTTTGTTAACCTCACATTTTTTTGTTTGACTTACAAGAATTCAAAATTTTTTTTGGAGTAAACAACAAAGTGCTCAGCATCGCGGGGGGGGGGGGGGGGGTTTGAACCCCCTAATCCCCCCCCTTGGATACGGCCCTGCGGCATGCAAAATACTATGATTTTGATTAACGCCATCTTATGGTTATAATAACAATATCATATCATAACAATGTCATATCCATTGGTTGTCGACAAAAATATGAATTAATCGTAGAATTGACCCCGGCCAAAAATTTTTGTACATTTTTTGTAAAATGCATTTTACAGCGTTTAGTTCTATTAAAGCTCTCAGTTTCGATATTAAAACTTCACGCTTTAAAATATATACCTACCTTCAGCACTGATAATGAAAATAACTTCAACCTATTATCGTATCAACAAGAAATTACCTACTCCCTAGGATTTAGGGATATTCGTGAATAGGTTGCCATAAATTTGGTTAGGTTGATTTGTAGTGACAAACAAAAGATATCATAACTAGTGTCAATAATTTAGGTTAAGTCACCTGTCAGCTTGTATAGATAACTCACTTGATAGTTGACAGCAGGTTGAAAGAAAACTTCAACCGTCAACAACAAGGGGTAACCAACCCTAGGCATTCAAAATTACTTGTGAAAATTCTAGTTACAAACAACATGAAAAAAAAATTCCTAAAAATTCAAATCCTAGGTGGAAATTTCTTGTTGACAAATCTGTATTTGCTTTATTTTATTGTATTTTTATTTAATTTTGGTTGTTGCTAATATTTGTATTAAACTTATCTATTTTGCGTCTTTAAGAAAGTTATTAACCAACCCGTTTGGGTGGGTAAACAGCCTAGAGTATTTTATGTTTTAATGTTGATGACAATGCGTTGGAAGTAAATTGTTGTCAACATTCTTACCAATTTCCCTAATTTCATGAAAACATCTTGAAAACTCCTGAAAATTATCAGTTCGTGTTGAATTTCCAAAGCTAATCTAAATTGTTTTTTTTTTTCGGCGAGTATTAACGAAATTCCTCGAAAAAAGCCTGTTCTTATTTCAAAAACCTGCATAAATGTAAAATAACACCATTTTTTTGCCTAATTTGCTAAATTTTTAACGAAATTTTGTAAAATACTTCCGTTTCTAGCTGAACAACGTACTCTGAAAAAGGAAAAAATAATGTACTTTTCGACGATCTCGTCAAAAAATCAAAAATATGTTTAACTAATTTGGTGATTTTTCGACTTATTTTTCTGGTTTGGCAAAATACTTAAATTTGTGGTTGAAAAACGTGCAAAATGCTCACCAAATGCAAATGATTTTTGACTTCCATGCCAATAAGTGAAAAATCAAATTTAGTTCCTTGACGAGTGCGCAAATGATTGTGATTTTTTACTTCAAGTTGGTGTTAAATTTGAAATTTTAGTTTGGCAACCAATAATTTAGTGTTGTTAATAGGTAAGTAATAAATATTTAGACAAATAGTCGATTTGTAATAAAATATTTCAAAATAAGTTAATTTTCTACTAAGTATATCAGTTTTTTCATTTCCAAAAAAATCACCAGATATATTAGAATTTTTACAAAAGTTCCCACCAAATCGCTAAACTAACGTGAAAATCATCTGACGCGAAATTCCCTATATTTAAAAATTTTCTTTTCCTTAAAAAATAGTATGCAAGAGTTGGTATTTTGTTCCTGAACTCGCCGCTATGCGTACTGAGAACATGAATTAAGATAGGAAAAAATTTATGATAGTGAAGAAATTTTAAGAGACGAGCAGTTTTTTTCTGAACTGGAGTTCGAGACTTTAAAAAAATGTAGAGTCGGTAGAATTGGATTCTTGAGAATTAAAAAAATCTCTAAAAATTTTGTTTTCCTTCAGACAGGATAAAAAAATTAGTACATCTCGTTTCCCGTTCTTCAACTCGCCGCTACGCGGCTCGTTTCGGGTCAATTGGATGCCTTCTGCAACTCGTATTTTAATCCACTATTCTCTGAAGTCGGGTCAAATTGTGTCAGTGACACTACCAATGTTCATGAATCATTGTTAAAATTTGAGTTGTCTCTGGTCATAAATATGTAATGAGTGATTCATGGGGTAAGGTTGGTGAATGAAATAGTTTGGTTCGTAAGTGTTGTTTATTTTTTCATATCAGAGTATACTAAGTTAAAGTAAACATAGACTGACCATTACTCGAAAAAAGTCTGAATAAAGGCAGCCCTACACGCCCAATATTGTCATGCAATATGAATTTTGCATAATATTGAACGTTAAAGGGCGAACTGAATAAAATAAGTAGTTAGTTAGTATTGCGTAATAGTTATTGCGCAATAATATTGAGCAAGAGAGGTGCCTTTATAAAATATATTTACATACGCGTTATGAGATCTCTGGAAAAACCATTGGAATAATTACACAAATTCGTTAAATAATGCTAATGGAACTCGAAAAGCGCCGGATAATATTTACATGTGGTTACTGACATGAAAATATTATTTTTTCGTAAATTTCTGCTAGAATAGAATACAATTAACTAAATCTACGAAAGAGTAAACATGACTATTTACAACATTTTTTGTCAAATCACCAACTTTGCAAATAATTTATTGTTTGGTCGTAATCATTTGCAAACTAGCAGTCGAAAAAGGATTGTGACTTAATGTGTACTGTTCGTGTTATTTACAAAGAATTAAAGTAGCTACAAATTGAATTTCCTACAGAAAAATTAAATTTACTAAAATTATTCTAAATCTAGTGTCAATTTCCTCTCACAATAAAAATATATATTTACAAAAGATAAAAGCACGATAAAAGCCAATAATTTCCCTGTAGGAGGCTTGCCGGTGCTATTAACTAAACCAATCGTAATAGCACATTCAAATAAGAGTTCCAAAACATTTCAAATGAGCTAAATACAAAGTAAAGGCCACTGTATAACCAATTTCACTTCCATTACACTACTGCTTAGTAAAAAACGTCAACTAATGAACAGAGGAGAGCTGTAATGTACTTTTCCAGTCTCTGTATCTCATTGCACACTTAACAATTCACACTGAACACACTACAGTACTATTTATATGTAAAGTTGGCAATTATTTAACATGAAAGGAGCTGCACATCGTTTCTGGGTTTATGTAGCTATATTCACAGTCTTTACCTTACAAGTCTTAAATTAAACTACCAAATTTGAGAGAAACTTGGTGCGTCAAGGCAGTTAAATCGATGTCGGGAGTGACAACTGAGTGAAAAATTTTGATTTCCGGTGGAATACCGACATGTGACCAACCGCCCAACACAAAACCTGCCAGTCTTATTCAACTAAAAATCTAAAATATCCATTATACTAATCAAGGCAGTGATATCTGTACACTGTATCTAATTGGCTGATCTACATGGTATAGATAAAATCACACTCTGAGCGACTAAATTACACGAAACACACACTACGATTAAGTTGCAGCGCGATTGTCCATTGTCCATAATTTGCATTGCATAGAATCCCTGAATGAATATATTTGGTGTACTGTTACTTATAAATAATATCGTTCATTGAACAACAGAAAGGAGAGCGGTTATCTACGGCCAACACCCCATGGTCAATCCCATTGGTGGGGCGAAGGAGGCAACTCGGATGGGTGAGCTACAGTCGAACTGAAAAAACAAACAATTAAACCAAACGTCTCAACTTTGGAAGTAGGAAGGAAACGATAATGTTTGCGATCCTGGTTTCCCTAACAAGTTGAATTTCTCGGCCCGGTTTGCATGCAAAAAAGAAAAAAAAACTAAAATCACTAACCTAAACAAAAATGTAGTCACGCAGCACAGAGAAAGATGACAGGTGATAACAGAATTTCTAGGGTCTTCTTGAAAGGTTCACAGCCTTTTTCTTTCCTGTACAACAACCATCATCTTACTTAATGCCAACAAAGCGGGGGTTTAGGGCTTTTAATGGTGTGACGTTAGTTACCGATTTACTGACTTCCATGCATGTGTTTCAATTTTTACTACTTTTCCCTCTCAAGTGCTTTTATTAGTGGAAGAAATATTAACATTGTCAGGTCAAAACAGGTTCAAACATGTTTCTACTAAATCAAATAGGGGAAAAAAACAGGTTCTAACTACTGTAAAAATAAAAAATTGGTCAAAACGCACGCGCCAGCATGGAAATCATTTTTGTGTAATTATAATGTTATTTGTATGATTAAAGTAATAAAAAAATAACACTGAAACCCTTTGGTGCACGTTATTCTTTCTCATACTGGAAAAAATACACAAAATGACTTTTACATTAAAAAAAAAAACACCAAACAAAAGTACCAGAAAATGTCATGAGAGAATTGCCTTCAATCAAATCATTTGTTTTATTCTCATTTCGTAATTAACACACTTAATGCAATTAGCAGCTATTAAGCCAAGCAGTTAGTCACGCCATGGCATTACAGGTTTCTACTTTTTATGATCAATTGGAGAAATTACTTAGTCTTAAAACAGATTACAAAACATGTAATTATATAACTAAGTGTTTTACACACTTACCCTCAAACTGATTGAAAAAGTGTGGTAATTAAGGTTTTGTGGGGATTCGTCGCAGAAAAGTGACGTTACTGGAACCTGCGATTCATAATTAAAATATTTTTTCGGTTCACAAGAATGAAATTTTTATTGTGGGACAAAAAACAGACAAAGCACATTCAAGTTCAAAAATAGTGACCAAGAAATAAAAAACAACCCAGTTGTTTTCGTTCAACATAAATTGGTCTTGGTAAATTTCCAAAGTCAATATTTCTGTGAATTTTGTCTTAGTACATACTAAAATTCCTGTGGCAGGTGGGGAAGCCAAATAGACCCATCCTTTAATAATAGTATTGTCATGATTAATGAAATTAATAAATAAAATTCGGCAAATGAGCGAAAAAAGTTTTTTTTCGGTTTTAGACCCTTTATAACTCATTAAAGATAAATACCATTTTTTGTGATTTAATATTGATTGGGAGAAGAATGAACAGGATTTGACGAAGGACTGAATTTTTTTGACTTAGTTTGTAATTTAAAAAAGTAAAATTTAATCTGGACAATTGTAGTGTTAATTTATTCTTTTGCGGGATTTTACATACTCAAGTGCTCAAAGATAAAAAATACAGGTGATCAAGTTTTAGAATACAGCTAAAATTAGTATTTCTCAATAATTTTAAAATAGCTACTTTTTGAATTTGGCTTTAGCGCTATTAAATTCAATTTTTTTTGTTTCAAAAGCAATCACCACATAAAATATCAAAAATTGTGTTTTTGTCATATTATTCGAAATAAAATATTTCCGCTTGAAGAGTAACAAATTCTTTTGCCTTCACTTTACGACAGAATATGAGTAGAGAAGAATCTCCTGTAAAAAAATTAAAATTGTGATTCAAAATGCACAGTTTAAAAAAAAACACACCTATACTCGTTTTCATATTACCCCAGGTAGCAAAAATAATTAAAATTAACAATGTAATTAACATGGGGTAGCAAACCTAAAGATTTTTCTCATTGCTAATGTGATTAAATTTGTTCTAAATGACATTAATGACATTTTTGTGTGAATCGGCCCTACTTGATGTACAATAATATAAAAAAAGTATACTGAGAAAACATAGTATACATGAAAAAATATAAAAGCGCAGATATAATTTACACTTGCTTCCAACTTTTTGTTCACCCCGTATAAACATTTAAAAATAGCACAAATGGGCAACGCTGCAGTACAATTTTTATACCACAGATAACCACCATTTTCTTAATTACTACGAAGTCTACGAAGGAACAAATTTATAATGTGCTGTTGGCAGTTTTGCCTCTTTAATAAATTTTAAAATTTAATTACGATGTTTCACATGTTTTACTTCATAATTTTAAGAGATTATTTTTTTAATATTTCAATGTTTTAAAATACCTTGTTAATTAATAAAAAATAATATGAGACGTACGAGGGGCACTAGAAAAGAAATCTACCTAACTAGGAAAAAAACAATGAAATGCACAAGCATAATTTTGTCAATTAGTGCCATGTATTCTAACCTTGCATTTGAGTTAATTGTTTACAATTTATAAAAAGAATCGTCAGGAATATTGAAAGATAAAATCATTAAAAAAATCATACGTCTTTTGTTTCATAAAGATATATGTAAACCACACTTTAAATGTAAAAGGGGTCTTACATTTCAAGGAACTAGATTTGTCAAGACTAAGACCGTTAAATTTTTTTCTGAAAAGAACTATTCGTAACTAATTTGAGAATGACGAATAAGCACCGAAAACTGTGAAAAAATGAATTCAAATGTCAGTCATGTCAGTTCAACAAACCATGTAGGAAAGTAAACAAAGAAAAATAAAAACCTCATCTGCTATTATAATGGGGACATGCACAGGGCTACAAACTTAAAATTGAAATTCCATAGCCACCCATTATGTCAATTTTAATGAAATAATCTACTTTTCTTTTATAGTGCCCCTCGTAGCTACCTAAAGAAAGTTCGTAGGAAATTTTTGTTTGAATATTTGGAGTAACTAAAATTAAAAACCACTCAAATGACAGATAATACAGTCCTTTTGAGTAATCACCTAGATGTTCTATATTTTACTAGACTTATGTCGGACCTTAAATTTTGACTCTGTAATTGCAAGAAAATAAAACAAGAAATCGAGTATTTAATAAGCCTTTTCATCAATTCCACTCCCCAAATTTTTAGTTCGTAGTTTCTTCTGTTAAAGGTTTCACAAACAGACCTTGTAATGAATAAAAACAGATTTGTATTTAGAAAATTTGCGAGACGAGGTTTATTGATATTGCCACTGTAAGATCAATATTTTGCAGATAATAAACAGCCAATGTCCTCGTCTGTCTCATCCATTATTGATACTCCGCCCCTTCTCATGACACTTTCTGTTGTGGTATTTATTCGTCCGAGTGAGAATATCAAACCCCCATATGAACCCAAACAAAACGAATAGAAAAAAAGTCGAAGTGCATGTATGATATAGTGCTTATGCAACGTACACCAAGAGGTAAGTGAGCGGTCACCTATGCAATGGCGCTGCGCTGGTCTGCGGCGTCGGCGGCCGTCTTACCTGGCGAAACTCTTGAACGCCGCAGATTGGGGGTTTATGCAAAGAGGAACTCTACTTGTATTCAATTGCTCGGCTATGAATTTGTGCATCTCCTCTGCAACGAAAAACCGCATTAATAATGGAAACAAACACGTCATTTAGCGCGAATAGACACCTTTCACATGCTGTACCGACGTCAGTTTCTTTTCCCAATGATCGTCGAATCCTTGGGGGGCTGTCGTTTCGAACTCTGACGTGTATTGCCTCATGCCGCTGGCGGTCGTGTAGCAGCATTTGCACATGCACGAGTGGTACCTCAAACGGCCCTCGTCCAAATAAGGGTGAGCCAAGGCGTCCACCACCGAGATACGTTTGTCCTGAAACAGAAACGCTATTGATGGGCTTGCACGTGGCGGGTTTTCACCAGAGGCGGACTCGCAAGTTTTTATATGGAGTGCTAAGTTGAAATGGGGGCCCAATATACAGTACAATAAATAGTATATTAAAGAACAAGTTTTATAAGGGTTGAGTGCGCCAATGCCATTATAAAACGAGTATTTTATGCTATTTTTTCTAATTTGCACCCCCTTTTTTCTTATTTTAATTAAAAAAATATTTATTTTTGTCGCCTAGAGAATTTTGTGTTAGTTGGTATCGGTTGGTAATACTCGGCGCCCACCTGTTTTTTGAGTCATTTCTGCCGTCTGTCATTAAAAATAAAATTTACAATTTATTAGTTATTAATGTTACAACATAATAATATTAAATAAAATATGAGAAACAGAATTTAGTTTGCACTCCACCCGAAATTCGCGAAATTGCCGAAGCAACAACGCAAAATTTGTTACCTGACAAGTCAAAAGCGGCATCCAAAAACTAAATAACCCTAAATTCATTAAAGCACAGTGTAGATAGCCATAAACGTATTATAAACGCAAATTAGAAAAAATATGTATAAAAACTACTTGTCATTTAATGTAGTAATTTTGTTTGACGTCAGTTGAAATCATGATGGTTAAATAAACGAAAATAAAGTTTTTATATGAACGTCTTCAGAGGCTGCTTGTAATTTTAATTTTTGCTTTTCTTTTCGTTTCTGTGCACAAAATTTATACTTATATTTAGATTTTTCCATTATTTATGCCCACCAATAATTAAAAAAAAAAAATTAAAGTAAATTAAATTAAGTAAAAACGATATTTTATATCGGTTGATTAAAAAATGTGGACATAATTTTAATTACGAATACCCCTCTACAATTGAGAATAGATAGTACAGTTTTTATTGACCCACCTCAAAAAATAGAAAAATTACAACTTTCCAAAAGTCGGTATGAAAAAATGTTTTTCTGGAAATATTTTTGTTACCGTTTATCAGATTATTATTAAATTTTGCAAAAAAGACATTCTTTGATTTGGTGTAAACGGAAGTCTTGTAGAAGCTATACATTTCCGGTAGCAATGGGTCCTCCCAGTTTTGGGATCATAACTTTTTTTCAGCTTATTAATTTCTGTTTTTGATACAGCCCAATCATTTTTTTTTTATAAAAAAGGAAGTTTCATATCGCCAAAATGTACCGTTCTCGAGTTATTTGAGTTTAAACTAAATTCTACACCGCGCTGCAAAATCAGAATTTATAAATTTTGAGCGTACCTTGGAAACAATCCACTACGAATGACATCGCTGTCAATGCTGTCATATTTAATGTAAATTTCATTAAATCCAAAGGAATATTTGTTTATTTTTTGATGATTATAAAAGCTGTAATTTTTCTAGTGCTTGATGAGTTGGATTAATAAATACTGTGCTACCTATGCTCATTTGTGGAAGAGTATTCGTGATTAAAATTATGACACAAATTTTTGAATCACTTGTATAAATCCAAGCGGAATTTTTCTTACATGAGTGTAAGACCTTATAAACAAAATTGAGCTAAAATCATTGAAATTATAGAAATTATAGTTTTATTTGTTATGATGGCAATTTTTTAATTCCTTCAAACTAAACACACTAATGCATTGTGAAAAGTTTATTTACAAATTTAAAATTAATGATATTATTTCAATGAGCTCTTGACATAATTGGGGGCCCGTAAGACTCCAGGGCCTGGGGTGCTGTGGCATCCCGGCACCCCTGGCCAGTCCGCCCCTGGTTTTCACAGGATCCTATTTCCATGATTAGATACCTACAACAAGGCCTTGAAATTCGAACGCGATCGTGGGTTCTTTTGATCATTCAGTATCACATTTGATAACTTTGCGCTTCGGCAATTATGTGCTACTGTTACTAGTTTATTGATATATGCACGTTCGGTGTGAAGGCGGAAGGATTTTGATACTTTTATTAGTTTTATCATCTCTTACAAAAACAACAATTTTTATCACTCGACTCCATTTACACGCTGTCATGTATGCAGCGGCGTTGTTTGTTGTTTCGCAAACGAACAACTGTATTACAAGATATTTGATTCAATTATAAGAAACTCAGTGTTTCACAATTTAAATTATTACGTTGCTCATTTATAGAACTGTGAATTTTCTTAGTCTCAATTTGAGAGTTAATAAAAAAATAACCAAATTTTAAAAAGCCTGTCAGGGAAAGGGCCCTTTTCCAACCTGCACCTGATATTACAATAAAATAAATAAATTGTTAAGTGAAGTAAAAATGTCATGCTTTCCAACTTTTCACATGCAAGGTAATTTGATTATTACTTTATGATTGTGAATAAAAAATAATACTACTTCGATTTTTTTTCATTTGGTGCTCTTAAATTTAAAAAAAAATGGTAAAAAAACGTGTCATTTACAGTAAATATGTTTTCCAACATATTTGAAGAACTGTTTCATAAAAATAATGTTGGGTTTAAAAACTTTGAAATATTGTTTTGCCTCTTTAATTAAAAAGTTTCGAAATTCAACATATTTCAAGATCAAACATAATTCATCAAATAATTAAAAATCAAACATAATAATAGTTATTTATTCTACGAGTTTGATTGTATATCGGACGCATTATTTCACCGAGTGGATTTTTAAACCACGAGTGTAACGAGAAGAAAAACCGTAAATTTTGACAGTGTCGAAGAATAAACTCTATAATTTCAATTTTTGTGAAATATGTTAAAATGTTTTTTTTTTTTGAAAAAGATCAAAAATATGAGCAAATTAATTAATCGAGAAATTTTTGATTTTATATTTATTTTATTTATTTACTATGAGAAAAAGAGTGGAAAAAGTATAATTATTTGCTACAAAGTTGAAAGTTGAAGATGAAAATATTTACAAAGTTTTTATAATGTGCGTGCTTATTTTTCTTTTAAAAATGTGCATAACTGCGTATTTTCATTAAAACTCACAATTTATTTTGATAATTTTTTAAACAATAATTCTGTTATTATTAAAAAATAAAAGCGTTTCGGTACTTCGTTGGGAACGAAGTCCTTTTTCTTAAATTTCTTTAAAAATGGTTAAAACATGTGTTATTTATGTTCTCCAAAAAGCAAAAATACCGTGTTAAAAAATAACGATTATGTTATGATTTATGTTAGAAGTGATCGTTTATGTAAAATATGGAAAACTGTTCTAGAAGAATTGAAAATCACATAAGCAATGAAGATTTTTTTAGTAAACAGTAGTATAATATTAAAAAAAAAAATGTAAATAAAAGCTAAAAGCAAATCAATGCAAATAGAAATAAATACATTCAAAATGTTATTTTTAGCACCCTGTCCTCATACACTGAATTAATTAAAATAAATCTACCAATATAAATTGTTTCATAAAAATAACAATATTTAAAATCTATGAAACATTGTTTTGCCTTTTTTTTAATAAAAATATTTTATTTCATTATTTCAAGATCAAACAAAATAATTTCAAGTCAAAACAAATCACTTATAAAACTCCCGATATTCAATTTATGTGAAAAATATTAGAAAAACATAAAATAATAATTTTTTCAAAATCGGGAAAAACAAAATAATATCTCACAAGCAAATTAACTTATGGAGAGATTTAAAATTTTACATTTAATTAATTTATTTATTATAAGAAAAGGAGTGTGAAATAAGTAAAATTGTTTGCTACAAAGTTAAAATTAATGTTTGATGTTTATTTGCTTGTGGAAAGTAAAATTTTCTGTATTATGTACTTAAAAATAACCAAATCAAATGCAAATACCTATACAATATTATTTTTTAGCACCCAGTTCTCATACACATGTAATTAAAATACATCTACCGATTTGAACTATTTTATAAAAATAACAGTCCTTTTAAAACTATGAAATATTATTTTGTTTTTTTTTTAATTAAAAATTGTATTTTCTGTTTTTATAATTGCGGAAGTAATTTCAAGCCAAAACGAACCACTTTTAAAATTATAAATTTCCGATTTTTGCAAAAAATGTTAGGAAAAAATCAAGTAAAGTCTGTTTTTTTTTAAAACAAACAGTTCTAATGTTGGCACCCCTAGCAAGTTCATTCATGGTAATTTTAATGAAGAAAGTAGGCAGTTCCGATTTTTTATTTAATTAAAAAAAATGTCATTAAACGTCAGCAAAAAAATCGCCTAAGAAAATTTATAAAAATTTTAATTACTTTTTAAAATTTGAGAAATTTATAATTTTATATTAAATTTATTTATTTATTATGAGAAAAAGAGTGAAGTACGTAAAATTATTTGCTACAAAGCCGAAATTAATATTTGATGTTTATTTGTTTGTCGAAAAATAAAATTTTCTTTATTAGGTTTTTGAATTTTTTTTTTGAATTGAATTAATTTATTCATTTATAACAATTTTGTTTGATATTATTTACAAAAAAACGTTTTTTTGTTTGAAATGGAGTGTTTTTATTTTCTTAAAAAATAAATACATAAAACACGTGTCATTTATTTTTATGTGTTCTACAAAATATTTTAGTTTTACAAAAATCGGAAATACCAAATTTTAAAAGTGATAAGTGTAAAATATGGATAGTTACTAGAAAATCCCCTTAAAAAAATAATTAAGGACGATTTTGGTGATGGGACAGTGTAATCTTTAAAAATTAAAGTTAAAAGAAAGCAAATTTTTGTCATTTAATTTTTCCTCAAAATCCTCAAAATAAAAATTAAAACGGGTTTCAAATTCGCCTTCAGCACCACAAAAAAATCAGTATACTCTCTTTCGCCTAAAGGAGAAAAAAACTGAAAACTTGTTGGGCAGTGTTATTTTCCACCTCCCATGTCACACCACGTATTTGTAGTCAATTAGACGCGACAGTGCAGTAAAGTCCAACTTACCGGATCAAAAACGAGCATCTGACAGAGCAGATGGACCACTTCATGCGTCGCCTGCGAACTCAACGTATAAAAAGCGGATAATGAAGGCGGTTTCGGCGCCCTCCTCAACATATGCGTCTTGGCGCCCTCGCAGGCATATTTCATATCATCCAAAGACGGCGTTCCTAACAATTCCGTTATTAATTCTAACTGTTGTACGGGATTTTGGGCCTGGAACAGTATCCTCCTGCCCAGTAATTCCCCGAAAATGCAACCGACAGACCACACGTCCACGGCCGCCGTGTAGTGTTTCGCCCCCATCAGGATTTCAGGAGCTCTGTAATACTGCGTTACCACTTCTTGCGTCATATGTTTGGACGAGTCGGGCTCTTCTACTCTCGCTAAACCAAAATCACAGATCTGGGACAAAAAGAGGTGAATTTCGTGGGTTATTTCAGTGGGAAAGCTCACCTTAAGAACACAATTGCTGTTTACTAAAAGGTTTCCAGGTTTTATGTCTCTATGTAATATCCTAGCCGAATGTAAATATTTTAAACCTGAAATTAAACGAGTTTCATTAGCATTGAATGAGGTGCGGTTTTCGGGCTTTCGGCCAGTGTGAAAAATAAATTTATTACCACTCACCTCTAAGTATCTGGTAGAGAAAAACCTTGATGTGATCCGAAGAAAGGGGCTGATGTGATACTATAATTTTGTGTAAATCACTTTGAAGTAATTCCGTTATTACATATCTAAAAGTGTGTTAAGGAAAACGCAAAATAATATTTATTAAAGTGGGAATTAATAATAATCGATGATTAAAATAATAACAGTGGGAATTTTCTACCGTCTTTAATCGATTTTACTTATAAGTAGTGACTTTTGGTAAGGAGAAAGTTCTAGATATTTATGGAACTAAAAGTGGGTGGCCAACAATTCCAATTGTGTCCAACAAAACCTGACAAAATTATTATTGTGAACTACCTAAATAAATATGTACATATTTACACAAACGCGATAAAAATATTTCGCAACGGCTGATAAATTCGATCACAGATTCATTTATAAGTTTTAATCATGATTTAACATCTACTAAAAATGTAAATTGAGTAAGTAAATGGTTGAGTTTGAAGTATAATTTAAATATTTTAGGAAATGACCATTATTTCAATTATTTTTCTTTAATTTCGATTTTCCCAAGCAAGGTATTCGTTGAGATGCTTTATTAAAATTTTTAGCTAATAAATTTCTCAATTTTTACGTATTTTGATTTTCCTAAAATCGTCATTAAAGTGAACGAAATAGTCCGTAAAGTAAGTGAAAAGAATCCACAAAGTACATAGTACTTTCCGGACTTATACGTCATCATTTATTGAAATCGTACGCAAAGTTGATTCAATAGTGAAAAGTGCGCATGTTGTGTAATGTTGTTCAAATTTTTGCATGATTTTTCTAATAATCTCCATAAAAAAAATATTTTTCTTAAGAATTCGTGAGATGCTTTATTAAATTTTTTAGTTAATACATTTCTCAATTTTCATAAAATTCATTAATTAATTTTGATTTTTCCGAAATTGTACGTAGGAGAACGAAATAGTCCGCAAAGTAACTCAAAAGAGTCCATAAAGTAGTACTTTTCCGGCCTCATATGTCATCATTTATTAAAAAAAATCGTCCGCAAAGTTGACTCAATAGTGAAAAGTGCGCATGTTGTGTAATGTTCAAATTTTTACATAATTTTTCTAATAATCTCCATTAAAAAAATATTTTTCTTAAGATATTCGTTTAGATAAGTTATTAATTTTGATTTTTCCAAAATCGTCCGTAAAGTGAACAAAATAGTCCGTAAAGTAAGTCAAAAGAGTCTATAAAGTAGTACTTTTTATATGTCATTATTTATTGAGTTGACTAAATAGTGAAAAGTGCGCATGTTGTGTAATGTTCAGATTTTTGCATAATTTTTCTAATAATCTCCATTAAAAAAATAATTTTTTTAAGTATTCGTGAGATGCTTTATTATTTTTTTTAGTTAATAAATTTCTCAATTTTCACGAAATTAATTAATTAATTTTGATTTTTCCGAAATTGTACATAAGAGAACGAAATAGTTCGTAAAGTAACTCAAAAGAGTCAATAAAGTAGTACTTTTACGGACTCATGTCATCATTTATTGAAAGCATCTACAAAGTTGAGTGAATAGTATGTTGAGTATGTTGTTCAAAATTTTACATAATTTTTCTAATAATCTCCATTAAAAAAAATATTTTTCTTAGGTATTCGTTGAGATGCTTTATTTAATTTTTTAGTTAAATATTTCCCAATTTTCACAAAATACTTAATTTTGATTTTTCTGAAATCGGAAAGTTAACTAGTTGACTAAATTTACGATTTTTTAAATCATTTGCTTCATAATTGTGATAAAAAATCAACTTTTTTACCTTGCTGTACAAATAACTATAATTCAAATTACAGAAAACTTAAAAAAAAAACTAGAAAAACGTCTCTTAATTGATAAATGCAAGTATCAACGGTTAAATGATTCAAGAATCAAGGAAATTGAAAATTTATTTTAATTTAGTCACTCATTAAAAAACGTGTTATTTTAATTTAATTTTTCTAATGTGCTAAAGTAAATAAAAATACTGAATTAATATTTCTCTTTGCATTGACCATTAATTAAATAAAAAAGAAATCTTAAGCCCGAAATCAGTCAAAATTCAAATGAAACAACTCGCAACAGCTTGATCAAAATTCAAGATTCCAGTGATAGTAAACATCGCGGCGGACGTGTTTGGGGTCACAACCGCTTCCTTGAAGTAATCCATACTTCGTTAAAAAATGAACCTTTAAATATAGCAACGTTTTACGTGATGAAAAATGCCCCAAAGTAAATTATTTTCATTTAGTTTGATTGACTGCTATTTACACAGAGTAGCGCAAACAACTACGCCCGAAGGATTTTCTCAGAGAAAAGTGGATTCTAGCAATGTTAAAGTTTGGAATGAGGAACAAAATCAAAACTGTGATTACACCAAATAAAAACCAATTGGGTTTAAGTGCTCCACATGATGATTAACGCTGATATAATGGCACATTAATAATCTTGTCAAAGTTATTTTTTGTTGTTTGTATGAAGAGTTAACATTTTGCAATAAGGAAGTTGTTACGGTGAGTCAAGTGACCGCTACACCCATTAAAATAATTAGAAATGTGAGCAAAAATTCAGTTTCTAATCAAAAATCGAGCAAGTAGGTCACCCGATGACCTTGTCCTGTTCATTTCTGTTTACATTCGAAAAAATAGATCGACTTGAGTTAAAATATCCGCGATCCCATTTTCACCAACCCAACCTTCGATAGATTTAAATTTTTTAACAAAAAATTGCTCAATTATTGACTTTGTGCAAATGATAAGGCAAAAAGAAGGTGAAGGTGACGTGAAACAAAGGGCTCAAGGCAGCTAACAAATTATTGATTATTGTTCTAAATATGCAGAAATGTAAGTAGAACGAGTGGTAATTAAGCTTCTGGTTTTGCACCAGTTTCGTGTTGAGTTAACACCGATTTAAGAAATTTTAATTGACTCATCGTGTTTGACTGTTAATATTGACACGACTTTCCCTCTCACTGATTACCATGACGAGAGTGATAAAAATGAAAACTCGCTTTCCACAAATTTCCGTCGTGAAATTCCGCGAAATCAGTGACAGTATAGTAGCAGCATCGTGGGAACGTTAAACTCTTGTAAAGTAGTAGGAAAGGGCAGGATGGTTGTTGGTCATCGGCATCTCTGCTACCAAGGCCGTCGGGCCTTTGTACCATCCAAACCCGAGCCCAAACACCTGACCTGCTACTCCAGGTGAAGGAACAAATCACCATGCAGAGAGCAATGCCTCCTCAGTGGCCGCATCAACTCTACCACAAGAAAACTCTTATGCAATTATATCGAGACGGAAATACCAGCGAAATGAAACAGACAATGAAGTGATCATTTCACGAAAAACGCCAGTGCAATGCGCAACCTATTTAAATATTAATTTCTCTGCACCGAATGAAACTTAACGATTTTTACTTACTGGAAACAATAAGAATATTGCATGCTATTCACCAGTGAAATACCGCAAACAAAATTCGATTTTTTAACACAAACTCGTCTAATTGCTTTTAAGACACTCAAGCCGCCTTCGAAATCCTTATAATTAGCTGTAGGTGCCTGTGTACATTTTTCATTTCGAATAGTGTGTGGAAGACAGTAAAAATATTGATTATTTGTTCCGCTAAATTTGGAGCGGTTTTAATTACCAAAGCTTTTAACGCTTAACACGAAAAGTCACGTCTCAAATTTCCGTAATAATATACACAGTGTTCTACGAAAACTTTACGAGTTAATTCAAATGCAACGTGAGGTAATAAAATTCCGAAAACGCTGACGTTTTATGGTTGAAAAGAAGTCGATCTTTAGTGCATTCCAAAGTGCATCCTCTTAAAACGTCGCGACGTCGGTATAAATCAACACGTAATCGTCAATTTCCAAGTATAATTAATTTCAAAAAACTGACAAGACGTTTAAAATGCATTTGTAATAAAGGAAGTGAGGCACGTTTATTTGCATAAGCGATGAACCACAAAAACTAATTTGATCTTTTATTTATTGTCGTATGAACAAGAAATTACTACCTAGGATTTAGGGATATAAATATATAAATTTGGTTAGGTTGGTGACAAACAAAAGATATCGTAACTAGTGTCATAAATTTAGGTTAAGTATGGATAATGCAATTGATAGTTGACAGCAAGTTGATAAAATACGTCAACCGTCAACAACAAGCTTAGACGTTCAAAATTACTTCTGAAAATTCTAATTGCAAACAACATGAAAAACGTAATTTTCCTAAAATTTCAATAATTTCTTGTTGATAAATCTGCTTTATTTTACAAAGTGTTTATAAATGCCTGGACATCAAGTTGGCTTTGCAAATAATGTTAACATGTTTTTGACAACCATTTGCCGCTTGACTGATATTATAAATTCAACACTTTCAATCTGTTAAATTTATCGGTTGAATAAAAGATCAAATTCGCAAAATTGAGTGTTTGTTAAATTTAACGTTTGTCCGTAAGAATAAAGAAGAAAACACTGTATTATTCATAATAGATGTAAGAAAAGGAAAAAGGAAAAAATGCAAGTTTTACATCCTGCTTTTGTAGCCATAACAAAATTTGTTAAAAAAATTGTTCTTATACAATTCATTGTTTTTTATTACTTTTGTAGGTACTTTCTTTGACTATTCTTTAATAATTCAATAACACAAATCTGCAAAAAATTGCTTGTATCTATGATTTTTTTTCGTGATGCACTATAAAGATGGAAAAATATTCAGATTCTCCTAAAAGTTTGGTTTTGGGACCTTTGTTGGTCCACAAATAAGAAAAAATTGACAATGAAGAATTTACAAAATTTCTTACTAATGACAAAAAAATATTATATGCCCATTAAAAAAAAGTAAACACAACATGGGAGCATACTCGCAAGGGAAATGTTTTCCTAATTACAAAAGCAAACTTTTTTTTTGAATTATACGTATTTCATCCGCAAAATGACCACTTTTTATTACTAAATATCACAAATAAAAGTTTCAGCTTTCAGACAAGGAGTAAAAATTCTGTTCTTTCGCTTAAGCGTTTTTACTTTTACCATGACATTTTAACATATACCAATGTTGTTTCTTTCTTGGTTCTTTCACAGCTTTAGCAATTTCTGGAGAGGTGCATTGTAGATAATCAACATTCGACATTTTACACTACCAGCTGCACTAGACAACCACTAGAAATTAATAACACTTTCGAATTTCTCAACACAAATTCAGATACTGACTCGTGATGTTTATTCATAAGCGTTGTTACGATTTAATTAGTTGCAAAGCGTCCTGATTATCTTGTTCATTTACTTGATAATTAATTGTTGCTCTTTACTCTCGATCTGAATACGTTTGCGGATAAAATAGTAATGTTATTTGAAGTAAAAGTGAGACTTGTGTAATTTATAATTCACAAAAATTAATACTCCTATAACATAAAAAAAATTGTTGAAGATTTGTATCTTTTTTTAATCGATTTGGATCTACATATTTTCATACAAATCACATACAAATTACCCAAATTTCATACAAATTACCCATTTTTCTTTTTAAATAAAAACTAAAAAATATTGTACTCTGCAACAAAAACAAAAAATGTAAACCAATAGAACATGTTTTCTTTTCCACCCCTTGCCCTCAGAAAAAAAGGTCATTCTGAATTCGTAAGATTATTTTGAGTGTTTTGCAATTTTTATGAAAAAAAACACCCACTTTGCAGAAAATAAATACTATTTTGGCTTATTCTTTGATCGAAAAGTCTGAACTAGAACTTTGATAGGTAATAAACCTATCAAAAAAAAATGTAATTTTGATAAAAAAAAATATTACATGGTTAAATTGTCGGTATTTTCAAACTAAGCCTGTATACCTACGTTTAGAGTTTCATCCAAATTCATAATTGAAATTTTTATCTCCCTGTACCCAAGGCCCAGATAATGCCCCCGCCCTCGTGCAAAATACAGCTTCTAGGGTAGACGTCGAGCCGGTTTTAACAATACTTTAGGGAGGAGAGAGGCACAAAAAGGGCTCTACAATAGCCAAAATCCCTCTACCTTCAAAGACCGCTTCCTCATCCCACGAAAATCAAACAGTAAAATAATTCGCAATAACTGCCAAGCCCAAAAATGATCATTTAAGCCACATTCCGACTAACTTTATCCAAACTCGTATAGTTTCACACGTGTTCAGTGACGTCACACCCTTCTACGGTTATAACCCCACCCCCTAGGTGCGCACAGCTGGCAGATAACGAAACAAATAGGTCATTTGAACTTCGTTTGCTCGTTCCAAACATACATTTAAATTTATTCGCAGAAAATAAATTCGAAACGTTAATTAGAAATTGCGGCGTTATCGCTGCATGCGACAGATTGACGTTAACTAATAACGCACAACCGCTGCATTTTTTTTCTAATCCTAGAGAATTTCTATTTGAGTCCCTGAAATTTCGAACGGATGTTGTTAATGGACGGTGGGAGCCAAGTCTGCACATGTTTCTCAACTACAGGTGTCAAATTATAACAAAAACGTGTCCTTGAAATTCTTATATTATCGAAAGTGGCAATGAGTGAATAATTTGTCGCCGCCACTGTTCATGTAATAATGCATTTAAAGCGGAGTATCTAAATTATGTATCTTGAGTGTGCTAGTGAATGAACCACTGAATTCACTCATTTAATAGCCAATTAAACGTTACCGGAAGTTGTAAATTAAAAACCCAGCATTTAGATGATTTCGACCCCAAAGGTTAACATTTCCGACGAGGGTTAACTGGACTCTGAATCATGAAAAAAAAAAGGATACATTTCCTGGAAGAAATCTAAATGAGGCGGTTGGAGGATATCTAAGGCGGAAAGAACCTGAAAAATGGAATTTTCTTAAAAACCTTAACCGAGTTGAGTGAACTTTTAATCATAGATAACACGTGTTAATTTTAATACTTACGTTTTCGTGTTTGAAAAAGCAAAGCATTTTCAGTTCTCTAAACACTCTTTTCGATGAAACTAACGATGCGAACACATTCGGTAACTTCTTCAGGGCGACCCTCCTGCCGTCTCGGGGATCCGTTACAGCCCTGCAACAAATTGTGAAGTCAGTAATATGCACATTTTCGACTTGTGCCTAAAATATGTTTCAGTCTCTGTACCCATTTGTTGGGTAAATTTAGTGTTATTTATCACGCAGGCCACCCACTGAGTTGCTTATAATTAGCGCATTGGTAAAAAGGCTTTAATGCGATTTTGCTTTTAAATTAAGACCGCGGTGCGATAACGAAAGGACATTTTAATTATGGCATTGCACGCAGTGTTCCTTTTCCGGACCTCTGCTTCGCAATTAAAAGTAGCTTTCAAGCACGTGCTTGCATCTAATGTTGGTCACACTGACCGGAAACAAAATCCTGACAATTGAAATTAGGAGAACAAAGAAATTTCAATCGGCCTTGAACCTCCCTGTCCAATGCCGACTTGGATATTTACCAAGTTCAACATCCTCACCTCGGAAATGCTAAAAATACAATAAAATGAATATGCGAGTGCTTTTTTACGTCGTACGCAGTCGAAATAAATCGCCAACTATTGGCTAGGTTGTGTATGCAGTGTTTTTGAACTGTAGAATGATAAAATTAGAATAAAACGAATTTGTGAACAATAATAAATTTTCGAAGAGACGTAAATCTTCCTAAATGATGAGCAACAACGGTCAAGTGCTACGCTTGTATTTCAGGGTTTTATTACGGAGTTCATAAAGAAGTCGTTGAAATACCTGACCAGTTGTAAATTCAATGTTCGTTGTTGAATAGTTGAACAAAAGAGCTACAGGTAGAAACGAGCCTTGTGTTGGCTATGTGGAACACCTGTCCATCCGCCCGCTTTCACCCAAAAATTCATAGAGCACTTCAACTCAACACTGTCATAAAATTCGAAAAATATACCTGAAAAGCTTTTAATTTTTTTAATGTCAAATAAATAGGAAACCATAAATCGAATATTGATAACAAAATTTTACAACAAATTACAGTTTTTCGATTTCTAATGTGTGATAATGATGATAATTGACGTCTTTGAGATATTTATAGAAACGCAAAAACTTTGTTTTTGTTACAATATTAAAAAAAGCGTTATCTTAAAGTTAAATTCATTTCAGTTTTTTGTGAAACTAGGTATATATTTTTTTGAAAAATGACGTTTTTCAAAAATAAGATTTTCGAATTTTTTTTGAGTTCTGCAAAATTTTTATTTTTTTTTCAAATGGCAACCCACTATAAAACCATTCTTTTTACAAAGGCTATGATCTAAGAATTACGACTGTAATTCTTTTCGAAAAAAATTTTCATTAAGTTGCTATTTTGAAATAAAAATCGTACAATTCAAAAACAAAACAAAATTTAATTCTTAAAAGACGATCACATTTTTTATAGCACTTTAATTTTTATTAATTATTATTTTCTGAAGGCAAATGAAAAGCGCTTGATTCTATACTTTTTGTTCACCCTGTATAAATATGCACTATTTACTTTTGTTGTGCTCTATTTTATTGAAAATCATAAAATATTGTCATAAACAAGTTTTAATTTTGTTATAAGGGATATCATACCTAAAGAGTAAGTACAAAAAACTACAAAAATATCAATAACGTTATAAAGTTAAAGTAAAGTTATAGTTTTGCAATTTATATTTGGAATTAAATAAAAAATTAAGAAAGCTTTTACTTTTATTTATGATTGGAATCTAAATTAAAACTCAGAATTTTACAATGAATTTTTATTACAATTTTCTTTCGTCTGAGTTTCAATTTTGCTCTTTTAGACTGAAGGTTTTCTAATTATTATAGATACGAATTCCCTTTTTCGTATTTCAAAGCTAAAATTCGGTTTGCATTCTTTTATTGTGCCTTTTAGTGAAGATTTCAACACAATATTATAACCTATCTACTACGACTTTTACTTCAAATGGAACTTTTAAGATTTTTAACTTTCAATTTGAATTTTGTATTACACTTAAACTTCAAGTAATAAAAAAAATAGTGTATTATTAATTACATTCAAATTTAAAATTTAAATTTCCCACATTTACGACTAGGTACATTATAGTAGTTTAGCAGAAAAAATGATTACTCAATACAAAACTTGAGCCTGTTGGCCAATTTATAATGAAAAAAAATGCTCTCAGGGTTTTTTAAAGGGCTTTTTTACTCTTTCTTATTTTTAACTTTTAATTTCGGAATTTTGTATTACACTTGAACTTTAACTAAAATAAAAATAGGTGTTTAAATATTCAGGCTCGATTTATAGACGTGTCTAATCAAACGTCAAATTAACTAATCACGTGACAAAATTGAACCAACCAGATGCTCAGATTCACGAGTTAATCGCGCATTAACTTTTAACAACGAATTAATTTTTAATTCGGCTTTTATAAATCGACCCACAAGGTATTCAAATATACGAGTAATATTTAATTAGTATTTATTAAATATATTTAAGATTTAAGAAAATCTGCCAAATTTCCCAAGTTTAGCATAAAAATAGTATTACACAACACAAAATTTGAGATGGTTGGCAGGTTTATAATAAAAAATGCGCAAATGTTTGAAAATTTTAAATTCCAGGAACAGAAAATTTCAACGGAGACTTACTCAGAATTTTTTTATTAAATGAAGTTTTTCGCTCATTTTTATGTACACATACAGGGTACGCCAGAACTCGCGCCCCAGAGAAAAATGGTAAAGTGAGATACCAGGAACATGAAAAAAATGTTAAAAAAATTCTATCTATAAAAATTTCGAAGTTATGAGAGTTTAAATTTTGCATTTTGACTATTTATTTCTATCGGAAAAATAATTTTCCAAGTTTTTTTGCTACAGGCTATTAGAAAAAAGCTGTATCCTAAATTGTAACTCTTGTGTCATTTATGGCTTTTATGGGCAAAACTTTTGTACCTTTACAAGATAATTATAAAAAACATATACAAGATCATCAACATCATTAAATAGACTTAAAAAAATGTCAAATGCCAAAAAATAAATGGCAAAATTTTTTGACAGAATTTTTTAAACATTTTTTTTTATGTTCCTGGTATCTTAGTTGAAATTTTTCTTTGAGGCGCGAGTTCTGACACAACCTGTATGTATAGCATACTCGTATAGGTAACCTTTATTTTATATATATATAACCTTATAATATAACCTTTATTATATCTTGTTTTCAATCTGGTGATAAACACATGACCTTCTACAATTAAAAAAAAACGAAAAGGTCTCAACTCAAACTGTAACATCAAGGAATGAGTGTATTTCTAGTTAATCAACGTTTGTTGTTTGTTCATTATTTTTTGGAGGAATATTTCTTATTTGTAGTGCAGTGAATTAGACATAACAATACAACAAAATGTAAAAGAAAACATTGTATTTTCTGCACCGACTGCAAAATTTCAGAAAAAAACTACCCTAGTAAGTCAAATAGTTTAACACAAATTCAGATTTTCTAGTTTAAATGATTTCAAGCCAACAAAATAAAAAATACAAGCTATAAACTCTTGATGGGGGTTTAAAGTTAATGAATTTTTTAGCCCAGACAGCTTGTTTCGGTTGATGTTATTCGAATCATGACCTTCTTGACTTCCGTCGTATCGCGATCGGCGACGGCGCTTCCTCCCTGACAGGAATATCATCGGAATATTTAATCCTCGTTAGTTTTAGTGGTTGCAAGCGACATTTCGAGGTGAATTTAGTACCAAGGGCACCAAAGTCTGGCATGTTCCCACAGTTTCAAGGTGAAGACCGGCCCAATTCGTCTATGAAACGTCAAAAGCCCCCAGCTATTTTTACCTGCCATCCGAAATATTCGCAGCTCGGTTTCCTCCCAAAACCGGCAATATTCTTTGTACCACCGAAAAATCTAAAATTACCGCTGCTGTTCCAAAATCGGGTGCATCAGTACAAAATCCCCGAGTTAAATTTAGTCCCGTAAACGTGTATAGGGAATGCGTTTCACAAAGCGCTCTCTAAATAACCCAACATTCATCTTCCGACACAAAGAAGTGAGTTCTTTTCATATTCACAATAACATATGCGTGGTGCTTTCACACAATCGGAATATGACCTATCTTTCGGTGATTATTATCGATGGAGACAAGAGGCCGGCTCCGGGTCTGCGGTGGCCAACCGGAGGAGGGAATTTCGACTGGAACATGTTTTTCCCCCGAGGTGTTCGGACTGGAGTTCCAGTAAATCAAGTCGGTGATGAGCATTGCTGCAGCCAGGACGACCGTCCGTCTAGACGGCAGCAGGTCGCCTTGGGTAGACAAAGACCGGAGCGACCTGCCAGGCCAGTGGCGTACGTGCCCCCGCACCGGAATCAATAAACGCCATCACGAACTTCAAAGAAATTCCACATCAAGGTCATGACATTTATGGATCAAAAATTCACCTCGATGATTGACAACAACACAAAGAAAAATTATTTCGGACGGTGATTAAATTCACAATTATGTTTCAATATTATAAAGAAATATTTAATCTTCTAATCTTTCGAAGAATACGCTTTTCACGTTCAATTGTAAACAGTAAATAAAAAATTAAAACGAAATTATGTATACTAACTTTTGTTTCACTTATAAAGTTGATACAAAAAACTCCTTCCTAA